TTAAGTAGTTTATTGGAGATAAGAGTATCACAGATTTTCCTGTGTGGGCTAGCTTCGAATCAGGATCATCAGATCTCAGCCTCCTGAGTAGCTAGAATTACAGGCACCAGCCACCTACACCAAGCTAATAAAACCCTTTTTAAAAACAGAAAGGCAGCCTTTTCTATTGCTTCCCTTGAGGAAGACAAGGAAGTATGCAACCCTTTTTAGGAACATGTAGAAAAACCTGTGCCAAAAGAGAAAAATGTGAGCAATTTGGCTCTTCTAAATGACTCACCCTTGAGGATTATAGATAGCCACATGTTAGTGCATAGCCAGTCAACTTGATGAGCAAACCAGTTAAATATTTTTGATGCTAAAACCAAAAAGTAACTCTAGATCCTAAACATATCCTAACTTAACATACTGTTCACATTTCCATTCTTTTCCATGTTTCTAATTTTTTTTTTTTTTTTGGTCAGTCATGGGGCTTGAACTCTGGGCTTGGGTGCTGTCCCTGCGCTCTTCAGCTCAAGGCAAGTGCTCTACCGCTTGAGCCACAGCATCACTTCTGGATGTCTAGTGGTTTATTAGAGATAAGAGTCTCACGGACTTTCCTGCCCGGGCTGGCTTTGAATCGTGATCCTCAGATCTCAGCCTCCTGAGTAGCTAGGATTATTTGCATGAGCCACCGGCACCTGGAATGTTCCTAAATTTTTATTGATAGATTTGAAATTTATAAAAAGTTTATATTTTAAGCCTTATCATCTTTTGGGGAGCTTACATAACAAATTAACGAAACAGGATCAAATACTAGATCATCAGATGCTAGATATTATATACTATGCCCTACAGTGACTTCTTGGAACAATTCAATCCTAAATGTCAGACAAGCAGACTAACCAGAACTGAGACATCAGGATTGTATTTTTTCAGAGATTTACAATTAAAAAGTGAATTTACAACACTTGAAAAGTACTTATGGCTACTCTATCAATGGTGCTAAAATTTAAGTAATTTTCAACCACTTAAATATTTTAAAATTCTAACTTCAGTCTACTTACATTACTTTTTTCAGATTTTTCTAGATTGCTTATATTATCTGTAAAAACTTTAAGTAATATAAGAAATGTATACTTTTTTCTATAGGGCTGCTGGGTGCTGTCGAAATGGGCAAGTTCATGAAACCCGGGAAAGTGGTGCTGGTCCTGGCCAGACGCTACTCCAGACGTAACGCTGTCATCGTGAAGAACACTGATGATGGCACTTCAGATCATCCCTACAGCCATGCTTTGGTGGCAGGAATTGATCGCTATCCCTGAAAAGTGACAGCTAACATGGGCAAGAAGATTGCCAAGAGGTCAAAGATCAAGTCCTTTGTGAAGGTTTATAACTATAATCACCTTATGGCCACAAGGTACTCTGTGGATATCCCCTTGGACAAAACTGTGGTTAACAAGGATGTCTTCAGAGACCCAGCTCTTAAATGCAAGGCCCAACGGGAGGCCAAGGTCAAGTTTGAGGAGAGATACAAGACCAGCAAGAACAAGTGGTTCTTCCAGAAGCTTCGGTTTTAGATGTTTTTTTGTTTCCATCATTAAAAATAGCGGGGAGGGGAGGGGAAAAGAAATGTATAAAGCTGGTAGTTGACTGGTGAATAGATTGCCAATACTACCACCTAGCGGCCAAAAATATTAAAACTTACAGAATTAAAGCAGGTCCACTTACCAGCTATTAAACTCAGGAGGGTATATCTGAACAGATCTAAACAGATGTTTATGTGTCCAAGAACTAATGAAAAGTCATATCGAAGTTAGTTTCTAAGAGCGTATGTAAGTAGAGCTTTCCAAACCACAATGTGGTAACACTGAATAATTTGACTTATTTTCTTTTCAGTTAACAACAACAAAAAATACATGCTTTAAAGCCAAGTCAATGTACTTTGGTATTTTCATCAGAAATGAACTATAACTAGGTTTTACAAGGCAAGCTATAGCAAAACTGGGGCTACATGAAATGGATACAGTCCAGGTGTGTTACACAATCTCTTCAAATTAGCTGGATTGAAGAAGTGGCATGGGAAAGGTTTCACATCACATGGAATAGCAGTGAGCTTGGGCTGTTGTTTGGTGCACTCCAGGTGACACACATATGGATGTCCATATCTAATGATCACCATGGTATTCACCCACCTATAACAACCACAACACAAAAACATTAAAAATGAGGTAAAACCACATTCAAATGATTTTCAAGCTACTGGCTATTGAATATCCAGCAACAGAAGACAGTGATCCCTGTGTGATGGGAAACAAACATAGTGAGCCCAACCAGTCACCTAGCTTAGGACACTGAAATCTTCAGGCCACAGACAAGAAGGAGGAATTAAGGTGGAGCCCAGGTGATTCTCTCAGTTGAGGAGAGACAGCTCAGTCTGGGGAAACCAAAATGACAGCGTGTCAAAGAGAAAATTGAATACAGAGAACTGCAGGGATCTACAGAGGGTCAGCCAAGAGTGCTAGATAGAGAACTCATCAGTGCATGCACTACAGAAACTATCCAAGATTTGGGAAAGAATAATCTAAAAAGATTAGAGCTATGTTGGTATATACCCATAATCTCAGCTATTTGAAAGGCACACACAGGAAGACCTAGAGTTCAAGGCCAGCCCAGAATAGTGAGACCCTATCTCAAAACAAAATAAAAACAAAGGGGCTAGAGAGAAGGCATAGCTTTGGTGGTAGAGCACTTACCTAACAAACATGAGGCCTTGGGCACAATCTCAAGGAGAGGAGGGGAGAAAAGAAGGAAATAGTATCCAATTTTTACATAATGGCTAAGACCGGATGTTCCCACAAGCCTGATTGGAAAAACTCACAATTCACAAGGCACTAGGTAGAATTCTCAGGAAAGCGTTGCCTCAGTAGTGAAGGATAGTTAATATTATACTAAATGCTGTTACAGATCAGCGAAACAAAATGAAAGACCCAAAAATTATCAGTATTCAAGTACCTTGACTGCATACTAGAATGAAGTTCAAGAAGCTTTATATATACCCTATAACAAGCAAAGTAAAATTCATAATGTCCAGTATTCAATAAATGATTAGCGGGCAATAAAAAGGAAAAAATTCATGATAAAACCAATCAATCAATAAAAACTGACCCATACTGACAGACATGTTAGAAGAAAAGGACATAAAAGCAGTTTTCATTTCACATGTTCAACAAGTACACATGGAAGACACACACACACACACACACACACACACACACACACACAAAATGGCCCAATTGGTGGTATATACCTGCAATCTCAGCTACTTAGAAGAAAGAGACAGGAGGATCACAAGTTTGGGGCAAGCCTGGGAAACTTAGTGATATCATATTTCAAAATAAAATAAATGGCAAGCTGGGGGATGGGGGATGGCTCATACCTGTTACCCTACTCAGGAAGCATAAGCCTGGGAGGATCACCATTCAAGGCCAATCTGAATGAACAGTTTGAGAGACCCAATCTCAACCAATAAATGCTAGGTGCTAAGAAACATTTTATCATAAATAAGAGAATCATGGTCTAGACTAGCCTAGAAAGAAGCGAGATCCTATATTAAGACACCAAAAGAAAAAAGACTCAGGGTGTTAATCAAGTGGTGGTGAACTTGCCCAGCCAAGTGTAAGATCCTGAGTTCAAACTCCAGTACTACCAAAGGAAAAAAAAAAGTTATAGATGCAAAAGCATTTTCTTATAATGCACAAGGCCTTGGGCTCAATCTCAAGTACCACTAAAAAAAAAATCTGACTATGAAATTTATAATACATATGATTAAAAAAAATACCACATGGGAGTAGCAACAAATTAAGCACTACAGAAGAAAAGATTAGTAGCTTTGAAAACCCAGGAAATATAATTATCAAAAAAATTAAATTAAAAAATTAAACTAGGGCAGGCACCGGTGGTTCATGACTGTAATCTTAACTACTCAGGAGGCTGAGATCTGAGGACTGCTTCAAAGCCAGCCAAAGCAGGAAAGTCCCGGAGACTCTTATCTCCAATTAATGACCAGAAATTGGGAAGTGGCGTTGTGACTCAAAGTGACAGAGTGCCAGCCTTGAGCAAAAGAGCTCAGGGAGAGTACCCAGGCTCTGAGTTCAGCCCAGGACCAACAATAACCAAAAACAAACAAACAAACAAACCCAGAGGAAAAAAATTTTAAAGAAAAACACAAGTGTTACAAGATATCATCAAATGGTCAAATATATAGATCATTTCAGTTCCCAAATGAAGGAGGTAACAGCAGAAACATTTGGGAACATAATGGCTGAAAGAACTTCATAAGCTAGGTATAATGGCACATACACATCAAATCCCAGCTATAAGGAAAACTAAGGACGCTACAAAGTTCAAGGCTACGAGATCCCATACTAAAAAAAATTCCTTTTCATGAAAATCATAAATTTGGTGATACATGAAGTCCAACAAAACCTAAAAGAACTGCAAAGGCATAACACAAACTAATAAACCATCAATAAAAAAATCTTAAAATCAGTCAAAGAAAAAAATACATATTACATATAGTTGAACAAATGAAAAATATAACAGCAGATTTTTCACTGGAAGTAATGTAAATGAGATGACAGTACAGTGGAACTTCAAAGTATTTCAGCGTGCCCATAATCCTAGCACTCAGACTAAGCTACATGACACCATGTCTCAATAAAAAGGAAATAACAACCCATCAACATGTAATTCTATATCCAGAAAAAAGATTACTAACCAATGAAGGCAAAATAAGGGAAGTTAGAGACATACAAACTATCAGGGTCATCTATGTGATTTCATGGGTACATACAAAAAATTCATTAAGTTGTACAATTTTAAGTATGTGCAGTTATTTTACAACAGTTATTTCTCAAAACAAAAGGTGCCAGGACAAACAACTAACAAAAACTTTTAGAAAAATACTCAACAGTTATTCAACTTTTTCACAAGAATGTAAACCTGAGAGCAGAGGCCCTTACCTTAAAGAAGGAATGAATAGCAGCTGTGGCTTCACTGCGAACCCTCAATATAGAACCTAGCACATTAGTCCTACATCTAAGGTGAGGATATTGTCTCAAGTACTCCAGAGGATGCTTCTCTTTATATTTGATAGGAAATGCCTGTGAAGAAATGGAAAAAGCATCAGAAGTTACGGACAAAAATGAACAATGTTATAAAACCAATTTTCTTAAATGGTAATGTTTTAGAACAAAACCATGGTGGCTTCCTTCCTTATTTTTTAATATATCAAATTACAATATGAAATCCAACAAAACCTAGAAGAAGCATTAGGAATTATTTCCACCAGGTGAGTTAGAATAATAGGGTGGATTCAATGAAGAGAGAGGAGGGAATGAAAGAAAGAGGAGTGGAAGCAAGATCTACTACTGATTAACTAAATTAATGTCACTAAAGCTCATCTGTTCTTTATCAAGCTTTTATATGTTAGTTTTTGATATCCTTTTACAAATGCAGATATGAGCATATAATGATGCAAAATAATCCACTGCTTGACACAAAAATTCAGAATATTATACACATTAAAGATTATATTTTTGACAATAATATATATTATTCCATTTTAAAATCACCAAAATAGCCTGAAAGCCCACAATCACAACTAGTTGGTGCTGTTTACTACAGTTTACCATGTTACACTTCTTTTTTTGAGGGGGATGCTGGTTCTAGGGCTTGAACTCAGGGACTGGCCACTGTTCTTGAGCTTTGTCTGCTCAAGACTACACTCTACCACTTGGGCCACAGCTCCGCTTCCAGCTTTTTAGTGATGAATTGCAGATTAGAGTACTACACACTTTCCAACCCAGGACCTTCCTGCCTGGTCTGGCTTTGAACTGAAATCCTCAACCTCAGCTTCCTGAATAGCTAGGGTTACAGGTGTGAGCCACCAACACTGGCACTGGCCCCAACATGTTACTCTTATCTAAGAACATGAGGGATCAACAGCTTTCTTTCATTTTTAGCAGTGTGCTAAAGATATACAGAGGATTTTAAAGGAAAATATGGCTCTAACTTAAAATATTCCATCAACACATGTTAAAAAATTAAGAAAACGGAAACACTCTTTCAGACAAAATCTAAAATCTGGATTTAAAAAAAAAGGTAACAGTAAAGCTTAAATGAACTACACTGGCAGCCTGGTTCTTTTTGGCTTGTCTTTTTAGTTCTTGTGTGCATTCTGATTTTCATGTGGTATAGAAACAAGTACCATACTTACGAGAAAAAACGGCCACAGTAAAAGAGATTTGATAATACCAGAGGTTCATAATCCCCTAATTTCTGAATACTTTAAATAACATTGAACTAAAAGAGAAAGAAGGGGAAATTGACAGAACTAACACCAACAGAAGGCAAGGGTAACAATTTAACAGTGAGCAAATGGCAATTTTTCTTTTTTTAATTACTACAGATACCTCTAAAGAAACAAAACCAAGGTATTACCTTCTCCATTCCTCTTGATTTCCAAATCATTTCAGCCTATTTTCCAAAAATTTTAGAACCTTATTTCTGATTTAAAGTAGATTAGAATTTCTTAGAAAATTACTCAAAATGACACCAGAAAATTACTTCATTTTTCTCTCTTATTTCCTTACATTTATTTTTTCCTCTTATTCCAAAAGAACTGAAAATGGACTGAAATGATGTAAATTCCCTTATATTGGAGGACAATTATAGCAAAGACATAGAAAAGTGATAAGTTTCAGGGGTGCTGCTATCTGAGAACTATAGACAAGTCATTTCACTTGATGGCCTCATTTTCATCACTGTAAATCTAAGACAAGTGAACTTAAAAAAAATTCTCTCTACCCTTTTCATCTTGCTTATAAAAATATAGCTTTTACAGCAGAGCCTTGAAAAAGCAGGTATAAATTTCTTACCTCTATTCACCAAAATGATTACATTTTAGATTAGCACCATCTAATAAAGCTTTTATGATGGATGGAAATACTCTGTCGCACTACACAATGTAGTAGCCAATAACCACAATTTGGGCAGTAAATGCCAATGAAGTACTGGATTCCTTATTTAGCTTTAATTGTTTTAACACAAGTAGCCAATGGTAGCAATACTGTATGATCAGTTCTAGATGATGAAAATAATTTCTAGCTTTCCTGAGAAAGTAAAACTGAAATGGCCTTTCCTGGTATAGCTGCCATTGTGGCTGACTGGCTTTAAAAAGTAGCAAGTTTCAAATGTGACAAGCACTAAAAGATGCACAATTAGTACTTAGGTCTTACTCATAAGACTAAGGCCATATACAAATTTTGCTATTGTCTCTAAAGGATCTATAGTCCATTTTATTGATTAGGGAAGTTATAATTGAAACAAAAAATGGACTGTTAATGTTTTAAACTAAACCCAGACAGCTTCCACAAAAGTATAAGCATACCTTGGCATCACAATTTCCAATAACTTCAATTTTTTCTGCTTTTAATTCCACATTTTGTCTTTTGGCTGGACTTTTTACCAACTGCCCCTGGACTTCCACAGAACTCCCAAAAGTCAATTCTCTATAATAACAACAACAACAAAAAAGTCATTATTTGTAACCATCATTTCAATACAAATCTTCCTAAATATTTAAAACACTTAATGAGAGAAATATTTATCCTCCATTAAACAGACTTTAGAATCTATGGGTGCTCTATTGTATACCAGAATTGTAAAAATGAACGCTTTAAAGTTTAAAATAGTAGCAAGAGTTAAGACTTTGTATACAGGTGTCTGGGATTAAAAGGTTACATAGGTATTCTTATCTAATATAACATGCTATAACAAGGTGTTATCATTGAGAAAACTGGGCAATAAGTAGATGGAAATGCTCTATAATATTTTTCCTTTCTATGTTTCGAGACAAGGTCTAACTACATGGCCTAGTCTGGTTTCAAACTTGCAAGCCTGCTCTCTCAGCCTTCCAAGTGCTGAGATTGTGTGGCACCACACTAACTCACATTTTTTTTTTTTTTAAGGCAGTCATGGGGCTTGAACTTGGCCTAGACACTGTCCTTGAGCTTTTCTAGCAAATCTAGCACTCTACCACTTTGAACCACAGCACCACTTCCAGTTTTCTGGTGGTTAGTTGGAGATAAGAGTCTCATGGACTTTCCTGCCTTGGCTGTCTTTGAACCATGACCCTCATATCTCAGCTTCTTGAGTAACTAGGATTATAGATGTAAGCCTGTGATGTGCCTGGCTAGCACATCACATTTTTAATGTTTTTTTTTTTTGTAGTTGTTGCTGTTTTATTTAAGATAGCTGATGGTCTGTGCACATACATATACACTACGTTCCAGTTAACAAATCTAGTTGAAGTTAACAACGGCATGACTACTATAAAAAGTAATACACATCTGTTTAAGACTATCTATTAGAAGCTGGAATGATTATATATCCATTCTCACTATAATATTGTAATTTCTTAATTACAATAAATAGGGTATTTAATAAGCCATATGGAAATATTATGAGTAATACAATAAATTGTATTAAATAATGTCAAGACATTCCTCATTCAATATATGTTGCTTCCATTTATGTTGTTTCTTTCATTGTAGTGTCTCATACTCTCATTCAGTTTATTTGTTCACTGGAACCACACCTCCAAGTGGAGATGGAGTCTTGAGAACTTTTCTTTTTTTGGGGGGGTCCAGTTGTGGGGCCTGAACTCTGGGCCTGGGCGCTGTCCCTCAACTCTTCAGCTCAAGGCTAGCGCTCTACCACTTGAGCCACAGTGCCACTTCCGGCTTTTATCTTTTTGCTTATGGGGTGTTGAGGAATCGAACCCAGGGCCTCATGCATACAAGACAAGCAAGCACTCTACCACTGAGCCACCTTCCCAGCCCCCTCTTGAGAACTTTTCTGTCCAGGCTAGCTTCGAACCTCAACAAGATCTCAGTCTCCTAAATGATTATGATTATAGGAGTGAACCACTGACACCCAGCTAAATGTATTCTTATATAATTTATGTAACTAAGCTTCTCCACTCTTCAGTTGTATTAAGGAAAAATATCCTGCTATGCTTTCACCAAGCCTGAGAAGGTATTTTTAAGAGAAGGTACTTTTTTAAAAAAAAGTATGTACTATGTGACATACATGAATTTCCCCTGGGGGCCCTGGAAAAGAATAACTCAGAGACAGGCAGCCATTCTTTAGAACATCCAAAAATTAGGTACCATTAGACCTACCTACGTGATTACTATACTGATAGCTAACTTCAGAAAAACTACAAACTTTTCTTTTAAGGTTGCTATTATATCGGAACAGTCTTCTATTTTTCTGCCCAACCAACCAAATAATCTGAGATTCTGAATCTAAATAATATGTAGATAGTATTAATCCTAACAATCCTTGGAATAGCAAAGCACTCTTATTCTAACAAATTCATGTTCTGCTCCCTGGAGATTACACCCTAACACAAAATGTTGTCAATTTAACATTTGATGAATGAGACCAAAAAATCTTCTTTCATTTATTCAACAAACAAGCAATTTGTCAGCACTTGGCCAAAGGCCAAGAATAGAAGAATGAATGAGACGCTACCATTCCTAACCTCAAGAATCTAAAGAATGGGTACTCAAAAGTAATCCAAGAAAGAATACAACTGATTATCAACCAGTTACATATGACAAAAGTGGGCACAGGATGCTATGGGAGCAATGGGGAGCACCTGCAACAGTCAAGAATGGGAACAGAGATGATGCTTGAACTTAACTATAAAAGACAGGTTAAAAAGAAAACACACACACAGGAGGGGGTAACAATGCTCTATAGGAAATGTACTCATTACCTTACTCGCTATATTTCAGATTTGTTTAGAAAGATAACTCAGGGAACAAGTGAACACTGGATTATAGAGGTGAGGAACACTAGGAAAGGAAAAAAGAAAAACAAAGAAGTCTTGAAAACAAACAAACTTACCTATTGTCAAAGCTTGAATCAGCAACAACTTGCAGGCTTTCCAAAGAGGATCCATCATTTATATGTAGGAACAGGACTTCCTTCTGGGATCGTGTTGAGCGAATCCATCCCTAAAGAAGGGAAATATTTCTAAATGTGAATTTAAAACACATAAATATTTTACATTTTTATTACAAAAAGCAGACTAAATAAAAAATGTACTCAAAAATCTTTAACTACATCAGTGAAGTACTTTTAGTTTATTCATATGCATACACAAGTATACATGATTCTTATCACAGTAAGATACATACTTTGGCATTCTATCTTTTGTTGCATGTTCTAAATAAACCTCATCATTTTGTATTTGAATGATCAAATTTGATGTCAAATGTTCCATCAAGTTGATGAACCTAATTCATGTAACTAATCCCTTCAATTGGCTTTTCTGAGGTGTTTTTCTCTCCTTCCATCCAAATTACAAAGAATAAGATTTATAATTTGGTGCCCTTCTCCTTATATAAAATCTCTAAAAGGGGGCTGGCTCAGTGGTAGAGTGCTTGCCTAGCATGCATGAGGCCATGGGTTTGATTCCTCAGCACCACATAAACAGAAAAAGCTGGCAGTGGTGCTGTGGCTCAAGTGGTAGAGTGCTAGCCTTGAGCTGAAGAGCTGAGGGACAGCACCCAGAGTTCAGGCCCCACGACCAACAACAAACAAACTAAAAACCTCTAAAAGGAGATTATGCAGTACATATGAGAAATATCAAGATTTTGTTCCTTTTACAAGTATCTCTCTTTCCACTCACAAGCTCTCAAAAATCATCTCATTATAAATAAACATTAAGTAATATATACAAACTCTCAAAATTAATGTTAAGTGACTTAACTAAGTGACAAGTACATATCAGTACAAATGAGGTATCATCAAGCAGACCAGTAACACAGAAAAACAGCTCTCAGATATAGTCAACTAAATTTTAGCTAGCATAGGATCTAAGAGAGGATAATGTTTTTCTAGCAGACACAAAAACTGAAAGCAGCTCATAACTGCAAAGCAAAATGAATACTGATAGACATTCACCATAACACATGCTTCGGGAAAACATGACTCTACAAAGAAAAACCTCTTGATATGTTGGGCATACACCTGTTACTCCAGAATTTAGGAAGGAAAGACAGGAAGGTTGCTAGCCTGAGCTATATAGCAAGGTCCTGCCTCAAAAACAAACAACAACCATACTCATTATATTGCCTCCTCTGTGTTCTGGCCATAACCTGTAGATACTATTATCAAAGTATTTGTATTAAAATGTATGCAATGCTTTAAGGGAAAGAAACATGTTCACTTGTTTTGAAGTGTATTGCTAGGCCCATAATAGATGACAACCTATAATATTTTTCAGTGAAAGAACAGCTACCATGTATTAAGCATGCAAAATGTAAAAACTGTTTCACTGTCATCATACACTGACTCATTTCCTTCTGATGGCAGTTCTAAGAATCATCATACCCATTTTATAAGTGAGGAAACCAAGGCTCAGAGAAATTTTTAAAAACATGTTAAAAGTCACTGCAGGTGAATGGTAGAGTCCAATCTGTGCCCATACCTTTTTTTTTTTTCCTTTAAAAATCATTGATCTTTTGCCAGACTTGCAGAGAATTAAGTAGAAACTGCCTCAGCCTTATGGTCAAGGAATTTTATAAGGCCTTTGGGGAATGTGCAATCAACAGTAATTTCCAAACTACCACTCTTATTTTTACTTGTTAGAAAAACATTTATTACTTTTTAAAAATAAATTATGTCTTTTAATCCTCACAAGAGCTAAATGATTATTATCACTTATGAAATAAACATTTACCCCTTGTACAATTATTTGAAGAATAAATCTTAAAAAAAAGATAACAATATTTAGAAAGTGGTTAGGTCAGTTTCCAAATGCTACAATTGGATTCAAATACAGTTATTACTTCAAACTTCACATTCTTATCCACAAGGTGTCCTGGAATGCTGTTCCCAACCCAGGGGGTAAAGACTGGTATGACAAATTCTGATGCTATAATACATCTTCAGTCACTCTGCTTAGGGACTCAGCTGAAATGTCACCTCATGAAAGAAGTCTTCTTTGACCTCACATAGTTCAGCAATTCTCTCTACTTTCTCTTAGTTCTTTATTTATAGTCCTAATGATAATCAAACTGCTGTTGATTAGGGCTGCCCACCAGAAGTATGTGAGCTATATGGTTGCTGTTGTTTAATGGTATTGGGGTTTCAACTCAAGGGCTCCAGTTCTCTAACACTTGAGCTTTGGCTTCAGTTTGTTTTTCATATAGGCTATCCCACTTCTGCTTAAGTCAGCTTCAGACTGCAATCCAAGTAGTAGGATTACAGGTCTGTAGCACCATGCCAGCTTGCTAAGAAAGTCTCATTAACTCTGCTTAGGCTAGCCTTGAACCTTCATCCTCCTATATCTGCCTTCTGGGGACCTGGAATTATATTTATAGAATTTTATAGGTTTTAGTAGCCACATTAAAGGTAAATCTAGGTGAAACTAATATAGTTCACTAATTTCTCCCACAATATATCAACACATAACTAATATAAAAATATATTAATCTGGGTGCTGGTGGCTTATGCCTGTAATCCTAGTTACTATTCAGGAGGCAGAGACCTGGAGGATCTCAATTGGAATCCAGCCCACGCAAAAAAGTCTGTGAGGCTATTACAATTAATCAACAAAATGCTGCATTGGAGGTTTGCCAGCACTTAAGTGAGCAAACAAGCCAAGTGCAAGTATGAAGCCCTGATTTAAAGCCCTGGTACTGGTACAAAAAAGTAGTAGATATTTTACTTTTTTTTTTGCTCTTCAAAATTATGTATTTTACATTTACAGCACGTCTTGATTTAGTCCAATCAAAGGTTCAGAGGTACAAATGTCTGGTAAATATCATATTAAGACTGCAAAGTACAAAATGAATGACTCTAGTCTGGGCAATAGATTCTGTTCATCTTTGAATCCTGACAAAAGGAAACATTCCTGAATACCAAATGAACAATACCAAATGTTCTGATTTGGATCACAGAAAAAAAAAATGAAACCCAAATACAGGCAAAGAGGAGGAGAACTGGTTATACTAAACAGCAAGGATAAATAAAAACACTAAGTCCACGTTTCAGCAGTCAATCCCCTCTCCTCCCTTTTGCTTAATCTGCTCCTTCCAGGGTGAATCTTTTAGGTGGAACAGCTACAAATGTTACGAGCAGGAGAAATAATAGCAGCGTACATGTAGCAAATAGGTAATTGATGGAAACATCTTGTACCATTATTCCATTAAATTTTTACGACTCGAAGTAGGAAGTACGGACTATCTTGTCCGTTTTCCTTCTAAGAAGAAACTAAGATTTAGGGCACTGAAAGTGTCAGACCAAACAAGCTATTTGGTGGGACAGACTTAAACCTAGGCAGCTCCCATCCAGAGCTCCTTCACAGTGTTACACATTCCACACCTTTCTCCTAATTTATTGAAACAAATTGACATGCAAGCCTCACCATAGGCAGAGGTGGTCAATAGTCGAACAAAAGGCATAGTTTAGTGGACTGAGTTATCTTTGGGCAAGTCACGTAGGACGCTTTCTGTTTCCCAGGGTTAGGAGCTGGGATGATAAAACACTTTCAGAAGAGGACATTCTGAAGAGACAAAAAAGAGGATTTTTTCCCCCGCTCATCTCTTTTTCTGTAGGATCAACAAAAGTCTACAAGTACTGCTCCCTAGCATCATGAAAACCGAAAACCTATCCTTTATAGTCCTCAGAACAATTTTAAGAAGTTCTGGGAAATGGGGAAGTGCGGCCTCCTGCGTTGCCTACATTTTCTAACTTTTCCTAGCGGGTCCTTAAGATGTGGATGTGCCATTTAAAAAGAAGGGGAGGGAGGGAAGGAAAAACCTTTTGCGCACACCCACCTGGACCTTAACGCGCTCCCCAAGGGCGCCGTGGGACCTGAGGGCGTCCCGCACGCTCAGTTTGACAGACGCTCTCGGCCTCGGGCAGGAAACAGTGGAGCAGGAGCGCAGGGCTCGGAGCAGGCCTCGGGCCCCGAGCATAGCGCGGCCTCCGGGGCTCTGCAGGTCAAACCCAGCACGGCCCCAGCGCTGCCCCCGCGGGCCCGCTCCCTGCAGCAGGGGTCCTGCCTGGCCGGGGCTCCCCTCCTACGGGCCGCGCGCTTGGTCCCCCACAGGACCTCTCCTCCGTTTCTCTCTTCCCAACAGGGAGGAACCGAGCCAGAACACTGAGCCACAGCAAGAAGAAACCACGCGCCTCAGTGACCAGAGACCAACAGCAGCAAAGTTAAAGCAAAACCTGCGCCTGGGCTGCAACAGACGCCGTCGCCGGCCTTACGTCAGCACGCCGACGTCACTACGTCATCAACACGCTAGGAGGAGGTTAAAACCAAGCGTGCGTGCGTCCTTTGGTCCCGGAGCTAAGGAGGCGGGGCGGGGTGGTGGGAGGGGCCACAAGCTGCGGTGGGAGGAGCTAAGGTACAACCCCGGCTTAGGGTGTTTTCTGCCGAGCGACCTAACCCTGGAGGGGGGAAGGGGAACACACACTTAGGATGACATTCAAGAGGTTGGAGTTCCTTCAGCTTCCAGGGGGATCGAGTTCAAGCCCCACGACCGACCAAAAAAAGAGAAATGTATAGATGAAGTTCATTGTTTTTCTTTTAAATTTCCAGTGCTAGGTTTCAATTTGCAGTACTTAGGGCTTCAAGTCAATTGAATCATGGCCATCCCAGCCCTTTCTCCTTCTGTTATTTTTTTTTTTTTTTAGGATAGAGTCTCTTGCTTTTTGCCCAAGCAAGCCTCCAACCCAAATCCTCCTACCTACGCCTGCTGCAGCATAGCTGAGATTACAGACAAGTATCATCACCACACCGATCTTCTTTGAACTAGAGTCTCCATACATTTTTTTTCCCCTAACTAGTCTCCAACTGTGAGATTACTCTGCCAGCCAGGGACTTGTTTTTGAACCCTCTCATTTGGGATTCATTTAGAGTTCTAGCCATATTATATGTGTGAACATATGTGTATGTATACTTCTATGCAAATATGCATATGCATATACTTGTAAATAAATAAGTATGCATATACTTGTATAATGTGCACACACAGCTTCTCAGCATAAAGCCTAGAAGTTAGATAAAATTAAAGACCAAAGGTTTGTTTAAAAAATCCTTATTGCTAAGTATCCAATCCATCTCTTCACCTCTATTTTGATGCTTACCTTGGTTTTACTGACCATGGTATTTGTGTTTTGAAAAGCCTAGAAAGTGTAGAAAAGATAGAGTCCTTTAGTGTTCTGTCACTGTACTGAAGATAAGAAAACCCACTCCCAGGAAAAGCAGTACTGGGATCTGAACTCAGGGCCTTGCACTTGCTAGGCTGGTGCTCTCCCATTAGAGTAATGCCTTTAGCTTTTTTTTTTTTTTTGCTTTAGTTATTTTATGAATAAAGTCTCAAGTTACACTTGGGCTGGCCTGAACTGTGACTCTATCTACACTTCTGCACATCTAAGATAACAGATTCATAACACCAGATGCAGCTTTTATTATTTGAGATGGGGGGCGTCTCATTAACTTTTTGCCAGGGTTGTCCGAGTCATGATCCTCCTGATGTTCACTTCCCAAATAGCTATGGTTATAGGTGTGTAACTACTGCATCCATTTCCCAAATATATGTGTGTTATATACTTATAATATATAAATTTATATATATATATATATATATATATATATATATATATATATATATATCTCCTGGTATCTGGAACTTGAACTCAAGGCTTGAGATCTCATTCAGCTTGCTTTCTTAGCTGGCACTCTACTACTTGAGCCATATTTTCAGCCCTGCTCTTTGCTAGTTAATAGGCAATGAAGTCAGACTTTTCTGCTTGGGCTGGCTTTGAACTTCAATTATCCAATCTCAGCCTGAGTAGCTAGATTTCAGGCATGAGTTAATTACTAACTAAAATTACGAGCAATTGGACATAGCCTACACTAGATGGATTGCTACAAATTCAGATTTTGTGCAGTTATATATTAATTGGCTGGCTCATTATTTGGCAACTGTTTGCATTTCCTAAAACAGAACTGAAAGTAAACTGCAGCATTTTGTGCAAATAGGGTAATGTATGAAGTCTACCAATTTGTATGGCTTATTATTTGGGGGTAATTTACAAATTAATTGCCTGGTCTTTACTATAAGGGCTAAAAGGGAGTGTTAAAATGCTTTTATTGTTACAGAAGTAACAGAAAAATGCATGAAACATAAATGTATAGTTAGTGGGTATTTAGAAAATAAAACCTGTTACCAGCATGCCAAGCTATGGGAAAGAATGTTGTGAATGATACTTTTTTTAGCCACTTCCCTTTCCCAATCACCATTTCTTACTCCAAAGATCACTACACTTCTGACCTGTCGGCTTATTAATTCATTCCTTTTCTGTATAGTTAAACAACTGATGTACACACCCAGACATTATAATTTAGTTTCCCGTTTTTTGTGTTTATGTAAATACAATCTTACAGTGTATATTTATGTACGATTTCTTTGCTCAGTATTATTTTAACGAGGCTCCACTGCATTATTGCCTGTAGCTGTCCAGTGGTCCTCCCCTTATTTTCCATTTCATTTCCCACAGTGGTCTAGAATAATTAAGTGGAAAATTTCAAAAACAATTCATAAGTTTGAAATTGCACATTATTCAGGTTTATGATTAAATCTCACATAATTCTGCTCCATCCCACCTCTGGCACAAATTAATCCTTTGTACAGAAAAATCTGTGCTATATACCACCTGTCCATTAGTCAGCCACTCCAGTTATCAAATTGAAAAAAATTAACATATATAAGGTTTGGTGCTTTTCTCTTGTTTCTGACAATGGGGTTATTAGAAGATACTCCCTAAGGATAAGAGAGGATACTATACTTTGTTCATTTTTCATGTCAGTTATTATCTCATTTTATTACTATAATTTTATGAGTCCATTTTTAGATATGATAGCAAATTATCTAACCCTGTGAAATGTATACAGAGATTCATTTTACAGATTTTGAAGTTAAACGTCCAAGATTGGATGGCTTCATCTGTTCAACCTCTGGAGAGTTCCCTGGCAATGCTACAATGAAGTCCTTTAGAATCATAGTGGGGAGTAGGTGAGCAAGAGAAATGACATAGTGATACAGGAAGCCAGAGATGGGGTGAGGACCCAGGCTTGGTCTTTTGCAATAACTTTGTAAAATGAACTCACTCTGTAAGTATTAATTCCTTCCAAGGATGATGCTTCCCCTTACCCCTCCCATAGTCCCATCCAATGACCTAACTACCATCCATGAGACTGAACTTCTTAAAGGTTCCACCACCTCTTAATACAGCTGCCACGCCAAGCCCAACCCTGTGAGTCCTTGAGAGACAATACACATCCATACCATAGCAAGAATCCAGTTTACTCATCCATTCTGCTGAGGATGTTTAGGTGTTTTCACTCCAGTGATATTAAGATTAATGCTGCTACAGATTTTTTTGTATATAACTCATGTTTATGCATTTAGGTTGAGAATAGTATCTAAGGGTGAAATTACTTTGTTATAAGATTTGCAATCTTTGGCTTTAATTTAAGCAAATAGGCTTACTTCTTTCCAAAGGGTCACTTTCAATGCATAATGTTTTCTTTTGCTTCATATCCTCTTTTCATTTCATGCTTGTAAATTAGCTGTATTGTGGGGATATAATCATATCACATTTTAGTGATTATAATTACAGTTTTAATTTGCATTTTTCTGAATATTATTTTTGAGGAGTACCTTTCCAGTGTTTATTCTCACTGGGTTTTCTTTGCTCATCTTTTTTAAATCTTACTGCTTTTCTGTTCCCTCTGTCTCTCCTTCTCTCCCTTTCTTTCTTCCTTTTCTTTCTCCTTTCTCCCTTTCTTTCCTCCCTCTCTCCTTTCTTTCTTTCCTTCTCTCCTTCCTTCCCTTTCTTCTCCCTGCTTCTTTCTATCCTCTCTCTCCTTCTCTCGTTTCCCTCTCTCCCTTCCTTTTTCTTTCTTTTTGATGGTACCAGAGTTTAAACTCATGCTTGCTTGCCAGGTAACTACTTGAAACATGCCTTTTGTCCCCACATTTTTCTGGATAATTAGAGATACAGTCTTATCAACTTTCCTGCCCAGGCTGGCTTTGACATATGCTTCTCAGATCTCAGCCTCCTCAGTAGTAGGACTATAGGCATGAACCACTGGCACTAAGCTCATTATTGTTTTTCTTATTAATGTGTACAAGTTTTTAGGTATATATTTTAGATATGTGAGCTTGTCTCAATAATATAAACTGCAAATATCTTCAAACACTCTGTAGGGTTCCTTTACAATGGTGTACTGAGAAAATGGACAAGTAACTTCAAACATTGACATTATTCTATCCTTTTAGGAAGAGAATCTAGTTCTTGAACAAAGTTATTAAGGCACTCAACCATTAGTCTTTATATTTCTTCTGGTGGCGTAAGGCTGGCATCTTTTATTTCTTCTGTCATTGTTAAAAAGCAGATTTTTTTTTCAATTTGAATGCCTATTTCCTTACTTTTTGTGAGTGGTTGTTGCATAGTTAATGGCCTTGCATATTATCATCAAGGAACAATTTTTAAATTGTTTTCTTGTGTGTTCTGTGTGTGAGAGAGAGACACACACAGAGAGAGACAGAGAGACAGAGAGAGACAGAGAGAGACAGAGTATTGGGGCTTGAATGCAAGGTGTAGTTACTGTCCCTTAACTTTTTCTGTTCAGGGCTGGCCCTCTACCACTTGAGCCACAGCACAGTTTGAGCTTTTTGCTGGTTAATTAGATATAAGAGTCTCACATATTTTTCCGGGCTGGCTTCAAATCACAATCCTTAGATCTCAGCCTTATGAGCAGCTAGGATTGTATGTGAAAGCCACCACTGCCTAGTTTCAAGTAAAGTTTGAAGTTTCACTGCACATTGTTCAAAGTGGATTCTAGCTGTTTGTGAATATATTTATGTGTATGATTAATCTCTACAACCTCAAGCCAGAAAATAATATAATTCAAAAAAAAGAAAAATTCATCAAAGTAAAATCACATATGTAACAAAATCTGATCTGGTCCT